GACTTGGAAAAGAGGAGTATGTCTGTTTTTCATTGAATGTTTACTAGCTAGGCTGGGATGCAGATATCCTTTCTCCAGGAGTTTAAAATGGTTCAGATGAAACTGAAGCAGTTGCTGCTGCTGAACATCACTGCTTACTTTGCCTCTGTGAGGAGAGAAAAAACATGGTTTGTCATATACCTATTGATCCAGTCATTTTTCTTTCTTTTTTTTACCATTTCAGTTTCTTCTTTTCCATTTGATTTGTTGCTCAGTGTAACTTCACCTACAGTGGTAGCCATCTCGGCATGCTTAATTTTTAAATATTTATGTTAATATTAACACTTGTATAGCATGTGTTCTGTGAATTTATTGCTAATAGCATGGTGTTTTATGACCCTCAATTACTTCTTTTTCTTACCTTGGGATGATGGAGGGTGAGTTACACAAGGTTCTTTGCCATGAACACCATTGCAGCAACTGTGAATGAGTTTGATCTAATTTGTCATGCACAAATTACATTAATATTCAAGTCACACTTTATTTTTTTCATGTATGTTGTTACTAAGTTGAAGATTCTTTGGGTTCCTCACAAGTAATTTTCTGTGGATTATGCAATTTTCCTGTTCTTAATTTGTTGGATGACCAGCTAACCTATGTTTCATATTCAAGTACCATAGTTTCTATCCCTTAGGTTCTACATCGAATTCCTTCACTTCACTTTCTTTTATAAGGATACCAAGTGATACTCATTAAACAAAAACACTAAAACATGGTCTGTTCCTGTATACAATAGTGATGGAAAAGTTATTCTTTGAAAATAATTAAACTCTACAATATAGAAGGTACAAAATGTGCTATTAATGAAACTTGTAGGGGGGAGGGTTGGTCTTTCATTGTTACGTAAATACTTTCTATCTTTGAGGGTTTCTCTGTAGTTATAACTCTATAAACCAGCTCCCTGTATGAAGACAGCATACTTGCAAAAGTATTGCTAAATTTATTATAAGGAATAATTTAGTAACTTGGTTTAGTACAAGGATTTTGTCATCCTATGACACCCTACAGAGTTTGGGGGTAAAAGGGGATTATTTTAATTTCCGTCTTTAAATGCAATTTAATACATGTAGTAGATAGCTATAATCCTGATGTTCTCTTGTCTCACAATTCATTTTAATATTAATGATAAGACATGTTCCAGTGGCATTTTAAAGTAAATGTTCTTAAAATAGTGAGGCTGGATACTTTCACTAGGATGTTGTACCAGACATTACTACCTATGCCGTGACTAAAAACGAAAAGCAAAGTTTGAAAATTGCTTTGTATAATGAAGAAATATCATTTATACTTAAGAAGCATTTTCAATTCCCCTTCCACCTCTATTTTGTAATGACTCATGGATTCTGTTACACTTCTAGACTGGTCTTTCAATGCTGCTTTCTGTCATTTTTTGGGTACACACTGGTATATTGAGTTGGAAAGCAGTTGTCTACAAAAGCACTTTTAACTACAGATTATGCCTGATATATATTTTTATGACAATGCTTGTAGCACAATAAAAAACAAAGGGGGAAAGAAGAAACTAAATTTTTTAAAAGACTGCCACCACATTAGCCTTTTTACTAGTTTTTTTCTATTTGTTCAAACATCTTATAGTCAAATGGTTCCTTTTGGTCAAGTGCCCAGATAATTGAGCTTAGAGTCTTTCAATGCACTGACCCGTAAGGGTTAGGCAAAAATAGAGGAGATAGACATTTTTCTCTCATGGGTAGATTCTGTAACAACAACATGATTGGTTTCTGTATCTTAGTCCTAAATATTCCTCATTACAAAGTGGGACACCTTTCTTATTTCAGTTTAAAGTTTTTGCAACATCTCTCCTCTGTAATACTTTTTTCTCAAAACAAATTCTGTATCTCAGAATGTGTTTCCCAAGCAGTCATTTCATCCTACATGTAGTGCTAAATTGTGACAGAGAGAGCTGTAGCTTCATTTTATTAATAACCTTGGCAGCAAACCATGTACAACCTTTGTTTATTGCATTCCCATTTCAGTTGTTATATTGGCATTCTCAGTGATATTGTTGCTCTTGGAGCTGTTCACCAAATCTGTTGGGAACTGGAGATTTGCACTGTAAGATGTTCACTGTAGCTCCTTCCACCACTCAGCTGACTCCAACCTGTCCTTCACTGTCAAGCTCCCCATCTGTTTCCATCTGTATTTGTTTATGTGCAGCTCAGATGAGGCGTTACCAAGAGCTGTGAAGAAAGACAGTGATAATATGAATGTCTTCAGTGAAACCAGTGGCTTTATGAAATTCTGCCTTTTTGCTTGCCTGTAGTGCAGATGTTCTCTCTCTGATCATAAAACTATTGGCAAAAGACAGAACAAAAGCCCTTGGTACCAAATGATTTTAATAAAAGGTGCAGAATACTGAATTCAACCAGAAGTCAGTGCCTATGCTGAGTACTGAGCAGTCTGAGTTCAAATGACCTAACATCATAAAATATTATTGTTAAAAACAAAATTTCTCTGTGGAATCTGAAGAAAATTGAAACTGGTTCAGACTTGCTCATCTTTCCTGTGTTCCTACATGAACAGTTGTCCATGTCCCAACACTGCTAATATTCTTACCTTGATTTTTTCCCATGGTTATGACACCTATAGCTATAGGATTTCTTTCTTCATCAGCTGTTGTGGTGTCATATCTGCTGTAAGATTTTGAAGAGCTTAATTGTACATTATGCACATTTTTCTCTATACTTGCATGCATAGTAGTGATTTTTTGCTAGTCTCACTACCCTATATTCTTTAAACTTTTATGGCATTATGGTTATGATTGTCTTATGCAGGGAAGCGTTTGAAACCTTCAATATAAGGGTTGAGGTACAGAGTTAAGATATGTCTAGGTCTCAGAGAAGTCTTTCCCTTTCAATGGTGTAATATTAAATGAAAATTTCCTCTCATAGCAAGTTTTAATCACATGAGCTGAATCCCCAAATGCAATGATGTGTAACCTCCAGTAAGTAATACAAAGACTGTTTCATGGTTGTCATGTGCCAACAGTGTCCTGGATCCCAGTAGAATATTCTAAATATAAAGTTTTATGGTGTTTCTCTACAAGAATGGAGATAGCTATTTTGCAGCCATATGCTCAATAGTCATATTTTGGAAAAACAAAAATGTTCCTTGAATAGTATCTTACTAAGGTGGCTGTCAGTGTGATCATTTTCATTTGATATAATTGCTAAGCAGGGATTTGTAAAAAAAAGTAGAACAGTTATATTCTTTAAAAGATTTAAAGTCCTGTTCAGTGTGAGTTGGACTGTGCTAAAGTGGTGATAAGGGAGTGGAAATATCAATTGGGTTCAGTTTTAAAATGTGTCATCATGGACTCTAGTTTGTGTAATTAGTAATTGAGGGCTTCCTTTGCAGGCAGGAATTTGTGTGCATTTACCATGTTTATTTAAATAAACAAACTTATTTCAATAAACATGAAGAACTTGCTAAATTATAATGCAATTTATCGTGTGAAAAATTTTGAATCATTTAATAAGCATGTTTTTCAAAGACCATCTGTGCTTTATCTCTGTAGAGTCTGAGTTAAGGACCATCATAACATATCCTACCAAAACTGAAATTAGATCCCCATAGAAGTTTGAACTTAATACGAAACCAAATGAAGAGTTTTGTCTGGCTGTTGGATTGTGCTGAGATATGCTTAGGAGCAAAGAGAGAAACTAACCATGCTCCTGGCATCATCTGCAAAGATGAAAGAGAGTCAAAAGCATCACTAGCACAGCTGGCTAGGGCTCTCCTGTCAGAATTCTGCATTTTTTTGCCTAGAATATTATATACTTTTCCAATTCTTTTGCAACAATATCAGTAGTAATCATGTCCACCTCTAAACTCTGCAATTTGTTCAGTCCTTAGAAAGGTGTCAGATAAGAGTCCTTCTTGAAACTGCGTGCAAGGTAATGAGTGCTCTGCTGCATTTTCCTACAGATAACCCATGTTGAAAGTCATAAATAATTCAAAAAATACGATTCATTGCACAATATGCAACAGAGGCAGACGAAAAGTGACTGCTTCCTGCCGTTTCCACACGAGGAGTTTGAGGTTATGTAGTAAACTTAATCATATTTACAGCAAGATGAATAAGCAATTGAATTTCGTTCGGGTGTTTGTTTCCGTTTTTGATGGATTTGCTGAGTCTGTGTTACATGGACTCCTCGTGTTGGCTTGTGTACATGGAGGGCATTCTGAATCCCAGCTGAGGAAATATGTGCATATTGATATTCACACAGGGAAATTACAGCAGAGCAACAGTGTACTCATCCAGGCACCTGGCTCATGAAGCATATATTCTGAATATGGCCCTTTGAAGCCAGTAGATGCTCCTGTCCCTTCAGGACAGCTCTTTATGCTTTGATTCTCACACTTGCTTACACACACCTCTATATATTTCTGCAAATACATATCTAGTTAACTAGTTCAAAATTTATAAAGCTAAGGCCATTAAATTGTAGAATTTTCAGGAAATCATTTAAGTCTGAAAGCAAGGAAAAGGTGTACTTCAGTTAAGCTGTGAATACTGGTCAAAGACAGGTCTTAATTGTTCAAGGAAATTATTATCACTGGATGTGTAAGAACTGCTGCACATGGATCTAGCTGAAGTGTTCCCTCCTTATTGTTTAATAGGACCTCAATGTACCATTGGTTATGCCTGTCATTTTATTATGCAAGAATTTTAGAAAAGGACTCTGGAGTGAAGATTGCAGTGATAATAACATGAATTGAAGATAGAAAGCTGTAGTTTTAATCTAAAAAAAAGTGTTCAGGATGTTGTAAGTGCCATGGCAGAATACTGCTGCCTCCTTCCATGAAGCTTATTGTTTATTTTGTAGAATCACTGTTGTCATTCGTGTAGCTCTTGAGAAGATGCTGGTGGTCTCTTTAGTAGGTTACTATGCTAACAGCTGACATGTATTAATTTTACCATCTTAATTGGATCCCTTTAGATGTTCAGCCAACTGGTCAGGCACACAGTGTGAGAGGCCAGCTCCCAAAAGCAGCAAGTCTGACAACATCAGTACAAGTAAGTACTTCAAATAACTGCTGACACTTCTTAAATTTACCCCAGTCTAGAAATTCTAACCTTGTAATATTTTAGAATGTGAGTTTGTGTCATGAAACGTGCTGGTTACCTGTATTAAAAATAGTTATACATATTAGATCTCTCTTGACATTTTTGATTGCCATTCAGTGTTTTCTGAAGTGGTTCATGTACAAGCCATATTCTATACACTCACTGCTTCAAGGCTAGGTTGCACTTCTCATTAAAAAAAGTATACTGGTGGCAAGTGCTTGATGGTATCACTGTCATGGCTGTGCAGAGAACTAGTACAAGACCTCTGACCATTTAAGTCCTACTGAAAGCATCAAAAATAGAGTTGTAAGTAGTTTACTTTTGCATTGACTGTTGGCAGAGGTTTGAGGTTTTGCGACTGCGAAAATCATCCTGGAAGTAAGAGTAGCTCCTGTTATATTTTTTTAAAACATGTCAGTAAGCATCAAAGGATGGTATTGCTACACTATTGGCTCTTCAAACTGAACAAGGTTCCCTGTGGTGCGTTGAGTATGCTGATGGTACCCTGCTGTGTGGTTCTAAGTCACATTTAACCCAATCCGAGCAGTAGAATGAATCACCCACTATTCAGGTCAGTTTGATTCTTAGATAGAATCTTCCTAGTGATCCAGACAAATGAAATAACACTTACAGGCTGGAAATAAGGAAAAAGAAGTAGCCAGAACCTACTGTGTTGTTTGTGGTGGATGCTTTTTTTTTGAGAGAACAGGTACTACAATTTGGGAAATAGGTGTTCATCTTGTTGCTGCTAGACCCTGGGCTGAACCGTGGTCACCAGATGACAACTCACATCTGGTGGGCTGGTTTTCAGGTTTTTTTCTTGATTTTTTTTAACTGCCAAGACAAAATTAACCTTTTTTTTTTTTTTACCTTTTTTTTTTTTTTCCCTCTGAAGTAGAACTACATCCAGTTATGTATCAAATGTTTCCTTAAAGTAGCATCATTGTAAAGTCCTTTACATGCTGAATCTTTATAACCTGAAGTGAACTCAGGATTCTTCAAGCTTTTATTGACTAGTACTTCACTTCAGGCCTCTGCTAACCTGACTTAGCTTTCAGTAAGCCTTCAGGCAGAATTCAAGGCATCTTTTTAAATGCTTCATTTAGACTGTATTTAAGGTAGAGCAGAGACTGCAAACAGCCTATTTTTATTTATTTATTTATTTTGATAAATCAATCAATGTAACCAGTGAAGCAACCAGCAGTCACTGTTTTCCACCAATTAGGAATTGTGATAGTAAACAAAATGCATGTTTTTCTACATTGGCTTTATACTGGAGTCTTGTAGGTTTTTATAACAATTTTTTGTGTGTATTTATTGCCAGATACTTAACATTAAACTTGAGAAATTCTTCAAAGGGTACAATTGTGGATCTAATTTCTTCAGGTAGTCTCATTTCAGTGAAGTTATCTGCCAAAATGATGTGAAGCCCATTTTCTTCTTCCCTATTCCCTCCTCTCCTTTAGTATCCCTGTCTGATCTGTGCACTGTTTTTCTGCTACATTAAGCATTATTGTAGTTTCCTTGATTGCCTATATCAACATAACAAAATTATTGGCTCCCAAGTACCATGCAGTAAAACGCAGCAATGCACCGACCATCTAAATTGAATATTGCTTCCTACTTTCCCTTCTCCCCACAAATAAAAGCAATAAATACATATAAATGCTAACGATGGAATTCTTCAATCAGAGCCATCCCTACTGAATATTTTAGATTCATAGTTGTGAGATTTAAATAAGCTTCTGAAGATGAATGTTGGCAGTTAAAGCCAGTGCCCATGCCAATCCAGTTCAGCAATTCTACACACCTTCATATGATATGATTGCAAGTATGGGCAGGGAATTAGTCCAAGGTAGATCAGTATCCAGAAAGATGAAGCTCCTGATTTGTTGATAACAGTACATGTGTGTACACCATTATCTGTAATGATTTATTATTTTTTTTTAATTGATCAACATTCAAATTTCAAATCATGGTATGGGCTTCACTGAAATCACATTTTCTGATGAGGGAAATTGTTCTTTTTTAAGTTGATGTAATTGTTTTACTGCTGTGAAGAAATTATTAGAGATAGCTGTGAGTATTTAATGGTATTTCCTTTTCCTGTTTTAGGAAGTATTGCAATCATTGTTCCTCTTGTTTTACTGGTGACTTTGATCACTACTCTGGTAATTGGACTATTTCTTTGCAAAAGAAAACGAAGGTAAGTCATTTTATATTGATATATGGAGTAACAAAGTAAATCTTTACAGTGGTTGTACCGTTTTGATAGAAGAAATTCACCTTTTATATGTTGAGCAGATATTTAAAAAGCAAAACAAAACAAAAACAAAACCCCAAAACCAACAATCTAAAACTTGTTTCTATATGCAGGGAGTTAGTTGCATTTTGGTTCTAGCTGGGACAGTCATGTCTATTATTTATACTTATATTCCACAGACAGTAAATAAGAAAGTGTTGTTCTTTCCTTATCAAGTTTGCTCAATCCTGCCAAGGCTGTGTAAGTGTTGACAATTCTATCCAGAGACTTAGTGAACTGAGTAAACAAAATTGATGTATTTCATTTAAACTACCTTATTAATATTGTTCTTGTTTATAAATACTTTTGGATATACCCTCTGCAGAATTTCCAGTTTCTAGTTACAGTTCACTTCAATTTATTTACTTGTATTAGTTCTTTTCAATTTTGTATAAGTTATGGTGAAGATGTAAACAGCTTTTAGAGTATCTGCTTTAGAGTTTCAAGCCTTGTCATCATTACTGTATTCCTTTAATATCTTGCACAGGAAGCCAGATTCCAGCACTGAATGTTTTGTTCTCATGACTTTAGCTGCCTTAGAGGCAGCAGAGAACTTCAGGAGGGTAGTAGACATTTGGAGATTGGCCATGTTGGGTGGCAGGGGAAGTAAGGGTGTTTCTTCTGTGTGCAGACACTTGAGAGAGCTGTTAACTTTCTTGTGTTCAAAGCAACCAGAAAGTGATGTTAGTGACGATGCAGACTTAACAGTGAAAGATTCCTAATAATGAGGATGTGACCAACCAGCAAAGATCTTGACTATTTCAGTCCTCTAGACTAAAATAATCTCTTACATGACTACCATCTAACATCATGCATAGCACCCCCTGCAAACTGGTGCTAACTAGTAAGGATTAAGTTTTAAATCCTTTTTGAAAGCCAACAAGATAAATACATTCCCTCACCACACTGTTGTTAATGCTGACCCAGGCTCCATGGATGTCATCTTGTGCTGCTGTACTTAAAGACCCAACTTCATGATAGCCAAATCCCAAAAAACAGTTGCTAGTCTGTAATTAGGTTAAGTGGAACAAATTCTTGACAGCAACTTGTTAAATAATATCCTCAGTAGGATACATAGATCCTCAGTAGAGAACTAGAACTAACCTCAATAAAGAACTTTTTTCTTAAAATTACATTTGAAAATATATTTTAGAGGTTTTATTAATCTCTTCAAAGAAGACTGTTAAGTATTAAGTATAGATGTTAAACACCTGTACTCTAAAGAAAACAGCCTATTTTAGGAAATGTTTTTTCTATGCCTTTTCTGAAAAATACAGATAATTCCGTGTGCTCAGTTTCAGACACTGACTGCATCTTTCTCAATCATCTTTCTCAGTCCTTCTTTCTCGTGTGTGTTCATGCATTATAGGACAAAAACCATCAGAAGACAGCCCATTATAAATGGAGGAATCAATGTAGAAATTGGCAATCCGTCGTATAACATGTATGAGGTGGGCCACGATCACACTGAAGGTGGTCTTTTAGCCTCAGATTTTACTGTGAATGCAGAAAAGGTAATTTTTTTTTTCTTTTTCTAATGGCAAAATCACTACCTATTTTGTCTTACAAAGGCTTTGACTTTACATGTAGTTAATAGAAGCATAGAACAATGATATTTAGATCTTGCTAACAATCAATATGAAAGCAAGTTAGATTTCATTAGGAGAATTTTCATGTATATGTCAACAGATCTTTTGCAGCCTGATGTTTGCTGGAAGACAATATTCCTGGTGTTTGCATTTTACCAAAACAGAACTGAACTAGGAAATGAGTATTTTGTCACAGACACGTCTACTTAAGTTGCCAAATTGCAGTCTATCTTTTTAGTCCAGTTGCAAATCCTGAAGGTAAATATATGATTGTACAGTCTACCTTTTGAAGTGTGAATGAATGTATTCATACACAGGAGACTGATTTCATATATGAAAGCTTCCGAAACCATCAAGAATTCTGAGAACTGGCTGGAGAGATAGATTAAATGTTTACACAAAGCCTGCTCTTGTAGAAGATGCTCTCACTTCTGCAGCTCCAGTCTTCAGTGATTGAACTCCCTGAGTGATGTGACATGGGATGAAGGGGGTAATGCTGTGGTATCTTTCCTAGAGCTTTGCAATCAGAT